CCTGAGTCTACAGTGAAGAAAAAGTGAATTCAAAAGCTAGTTTCTGAATTGATTAACGGTAGCACACCCCGCAAATTTCTCACCTCCACTTCCATTACTCTCCATTGAACTGACATCCGGTTTGCTAGCGCTCAAGCGCATTTGATTCAATCCCAACTCCAGTCCACGCAGTTTCATTGCAGCCGCATGAAAATCCTGAACGAATTTTGGAGTTGGACATACATTTCGTTCCATATTGTATGGGCGGAGCCACTTGTACAATGCGCTTTTCTCATTGGTCACTTCTTTTCTCAAAGATGTCCAATGAGAAGGGTATACCAGGGTCAACCGTTCCTTCGCACTATTCGTACGAGGGGTCGTATCTCCGGTTGAGCAGGGTGTCATAGTGGAGTTGGGTTTAGACGGGTTTTGACGAATTTGATGAAGGTTTCACGCAAGTAGTGAGAATTGGGCAAATTTGGTGATTCGTTCACAGATACCATTATACCTACATATTTACCACCCTCCCCGCCCTCGACAGCAGTTGGCAGCTTTAAAGGAAAAAGTAGGTGGAGTTGGGCTGTGTCGACTGGTCTCAAAATGAAATAAGACATGATGGTAGAGTGGTGATCCGAGACGAGGGAAGGGGAATCGTGGACAAACCTTTTAAGACTGATGGTGGTGGCGGTGGGTAACATCAAGACCTGCCCAAAGAGGGAGAGGGCCGCAAAATTTTTGAAAAAGTGCGAACGTGAGTGTTGACCCTGGGATCCACTAATGGGAAAGGCTCACAGCTCCAAGCGGCCCCATACAATCAGGGTGCTCAACGAAACAGCATCAAAACTGATGTCTTGAAAAATCATGAATATAAAATCATGACAAACGAGGGATGAATTGACAGTACGACGGTATGAAAGCAAACCTTTTGCCTCTTCTTCCGCACGCTCTTATTCATTGTTTTGTCTTTCGCAAGGCGTTCTGCGGCCATAACAATTCTTTTGTGTAGCTCGACGTCAGTCTCCAACTGACTCAACTTATCGGCCTGAAATGCACAATACCTATTCTTCGATGACCACCAGGTATCTTAAACAGGACAACTGACATTTTCTGCGCCAAAACACCGTGTTCTACCATACCATGACCCCAGACATCGTCTCTCATTGCGTCAACAATGATGACTGTAGCAGACCTACTAACGTCTATAGTCAGCATACAGTAACCACCAACTGCCCCAATTTATTTCAAGCGACAATAGATATTCTGGAGAAAGGTGAAAGAAATAACATCAGATTTTCAAATTCTCGTTTTTATAGTCACACCCGCGACCAATTAGTTGCCTATGATATAGATGCAGAGCCGAAAAGTGGTCCGCCTTTGCAAAAAAAA